CTATGCCTCTAGTCCCACTTTCCCTCTCCCTATCAGCCACGCTCACAGCTATCCCACATCTTAGAGAGCTGTTTTTTTTCTCAGAGGAGCACCAAAGGAACATCACCCACGACAGGCAGATCTCTCTGCTGACAGCAGGGTTCGCCTGAGCTGGATCAGGTTTTACAGGGATCAGACCATTGTCACTGCTCAACACATAAACACACTTTGATCCAATGCTTTGTCAGACAGAGCCATACTTGGCTGTGCAATCTTTCTTCTCTTTTCTTTCAGTAATAATTCCAGCATATAACCAGGACAGAATGATGAAAAATCTCTGTTATCAGTGAGTAAGGGGCTCAAAATCTATTTTGGTATAAAAGGCTAAATTTATAACTAACTTCAGTATAAGTGGGATAAAAATGAGCCAGGGAAAAAGGGTACCAGTGTCTATGTATGTGTTTTTTCACTACACAACTTACCCTGACAATAAGGATCCATTTGATAAGAGACAGTCCAAACCCAGAAATGGCCCCATATCGTCCTGCAGCTGATGTAGTCAGACAGAAAGACAGGAAAAATCCAATCCAGTTGAAGAGGAATGCCACTGAGAAAGCAGGAGAAAAGCAGCAGGTCAAGCTTCCTTTACATTTCCAGGAAAAAAAAAAACAAACATAACCCTCTTGCACACTGTTTTTTCCTGCTGCTACCTAAAAATGAATGTGAAAATCACTCCAGCTGGTTTGTGTCACTGCCTGGAAAAAAAGTAGAGTTCCACCATGTACTTACTGAAGAAGGTGAGCATGAAAATACCATCATTTCCTATCCTCAGCTGGTCAGTGTCATCAAAGTCATCCCGTGTCACAAAGTCATCATCCTGCAAATCAAAGGGACATAAGACATGGGTGGATTTATGTGAATAGGCTTCAAATGCAAGCAGAAAAAATTCCTGCTTCTCATCCTGAAATGGTGCAGGTCATGAAATACTACATCACTGGTGGTATCTTGCCCTTCTAAGACAGTCAAGATTGGGCATGTTCTTGTTCTACTGTGAATTCCCCTATTCAATAAAACAAAAACAACCCTTACCACCTCAGGAAGGAATCTGGCTTCTGTGAAAAGTATAACAAGCAGTGAAGATATAAAGGTAGCAGGGGTGGAGGAAGAGGTAACAAGAGATCATATTGAAAAGAAAAAAAAGAAATTAAAATTTAAAAAATAATTACTCCAACAGAATGGTTTTATCAGCCTTCTATCAGCTACACTGAACTCTGGAAAAGTCAACTAAGTAAGGGACAGGAGTATTCAGCATAGATGTGCTAGATGGATGAACAGTTAATCTTAAATCTTTTAAAAAACAACCAAACCCCAATAAAAACCCACAGTGACAGTGCACACAGACACAGGGCAGTTCCTCTGTCAGCTTGCCAGGCTAATCTGCACAGCACATGGTGGCATTTCTGAGAGCTCTTACATCATCACAGCAACCCAGAGGAAGATTAAAAAAAACAAACCATCAGCTCCAGAGCTCTTGGGGTGTGTGATACCACCAGCCCAGAAAGCTTAAAAAAGAGTCTAGACACTTGATGGGCAGGAGTTAAACCAGAAATTGTACAGCAGAAATGTGAAGGACATCCAGGCAGACCAGCCTACTCACCCGCCCAGGAACCAGCGGGATTGTGGCTTCAGCCTTGGTTCTCTCTGCCTCATCATAACTAGGCAGTGTTGTGGCCACGTTGTAAGATGGAGGCTTAGGGAACCCTGACTCATCCTTGTAGTCAAAATAAGCTAAAAAAAAAAAAAAAAAAAAGTTATACAGAAGGTAACTTGTCAGTTCCTGCAGAAACC